GGTTGCACCTGAGAGGCTGACTCGGTCAGCGCTGCTCCCTCACCCGTGCCCCCCAGGGGGCTGGGCTGCCTGCCACCAGCACCAAGGGGCCTAGCTTTGGGGCGTCACCCCGGAGGGTCTGGGGCGACGCCTCGCTTACAGCACGCTGGCTTCTGTCCACGTGGGGAAGAAAACCCCGTACTGTACCGAGGGCGGACCGCGCGCCTACCCGGCCCGGCTACATGTGGGTGCGCCCCGCGTGGCGAAGCGGAGCCGGCGTGGACGAGGCGTGTTCACAACGCCTCTGCCCTGCGGTGCCGTCGGGACCCGCTCGCTGCTCCTTCCAAGCTGGACCGACGCGGCGCCGGTCCTCCCAGCGCGTCCCTGAGCCAGCGCGGAGGGAGCTTATTGCAATAATGAGGCATCGGGCGAAGATCGTGCTTTCGGTTGCACCCGTGCAACCTTCCCCCCTGCCCCGCCCGCTCCCAGCTATACGGAGGAGGCGCAGCTGGGCAAAATGCAGCCCAGGGGCTAGATCCGACCCGCCAGGCCGTTCTGTCCGGCCTGCAGGGCCCCTGACAAATTTAGAAAATTAATATTTATTTGCTCTTGGCTGCCTGTCAAAGATGACAGGAGCCGGGGGCAGCAGGACCCAGGGGAAGCCGGCAGCAGGACCCAGAAGCACCTGCTTCTGGCCTGGGACCGTGGGGCTGTTCCTGCTTCCCTGCGCCCGAGAGGGAAATGTGTCCCTCAACAGCTTGCCAAACCTCGCTAAGTAGCCCTCCACCGAAATAATTGCCCACCCCTTGTCTAAGGACATAGGCGGGTGGGCTAGGTTCTTTGGGTAGATGTGATCTCTTTTATTAGACCAACTGAGTAGTTGGAAAAAAGTTTGTTGCACGCTTTCAGTAGAGACTCCCTGTGCCTGACAAAGGGTGGCTGCACCCAAAAGCTTGCAAAGACCAACAACTCAGTTGGTTTAATAAAAGATATCCTGTCGACCCGAAGAACCATGCTTGCCAGTCGTGACAACGGTGTTCAAATTCAGCGGTGGTTTGCAAGGCCGTGCAGCCTGGAGAGGCGAAGCCAGGAGTAATTTTGCTGCGGGTCCCAGTGAGCTGGGGTCGTCACAGGTACTTTGGTGAGTATTCTGGCTGTGCAAAGCAACCCGGGGCTGAAAGGCGCTTTCCCAGGACTGGCTTCCTGACCCATCCCGGTAAATGTGAAAGTCTTTCTGTAACAAGCACCTGTCCGCGTGGTACTGCCAGCATGCTGTTTGAAGGAGATGGTGCCCACTACCAACGCGCCTGGGCCACAGTCTGATCATAGCGAAGTCTGGTGTCAACCCGGAGTACGGGGTCTGGGTCAGAATCGGTTCATAGTATGCTTTGCTTGGGTTGACGTGGCTAGAGGCACAGGGGTTCTGGTCTTGCATTTGATAAACAGCCTCTCCTCTTGCTTTTCAAATAAATACGGGTTCTTTCACCTCCAGGGTCAGTTTTATCGAACTCCCCCCTCTCCCAAGGGCAGAATGACTACGGTCCAAACCAAGTAAATAATTTGGTTTAAAATGTTTCAGATTACGAGCTGGGGAAGGTGGAGCCAGGGAGGGGCTTTCGCTCACCCTGCAGATATATTGAATGCATTTGGAGTTGCACTTTCTCTTGGTGCTATCATACCAATCAGCTTCCAAAAATGGTGAGGCTTAGCAATTATTCAGTTTTCAATTTTGCCATTAATGTACTATGGAGGAAGATGAGCGCATCTTCAGCTGTATTTGTACATCTTTTATTCTGTGAATTTACTGATATATTTTTTTATACTTGGAAAAATTAGCATTTTTTAATCAGCATGTGGAACACAATGCGGGAAACTTGCTTTCTCTAAACTCAGCAGGGAATTTAATATTTGGAGAATGAATTTGCATTTGTTAAATGCTAACATGTATGTATACGTATTCTCTCTCTTTAGACAACGTACACAGACAAAGGAAAAAAGGTAAGAATACAGTTGCATGGAATAGGTTTCCTTCCAAAAGAATTTCTGGTACTATTAATGCTGGACTGATTAGATTAATGTATTACTAATAATAATGGAAACAAAAGCAACAATGGGCTCTGATCATATAATGTTGCAGTAGGACTTAGGTTCATAACTTCTGCTCTCCATAAATCACAATTAATTACACGCACGTTTTTCCTCACTGTTTTGGAGTGAGGAGGAAGAAAGGATGATTAATTAAAATCCAACCCTTCCATGCCTAACCAGAAGCAGGACTTGTTGCAATACTTCTCTCTAAATACTATAAATGTATATTTAAATAGTTTTAAGACCTGAAATAACTTTCTGAAACTAGTGATGCATACACCAGAGTTACAGTTAATTGTTAAATACCATTCTATATGGCACGACTTTTCTTTATATATTATCTTTCCTGCAAACTACACCCACTAAACATGAACAGTGTTAAAAATGATGAGACAGGAGATGGCAGATGTCAAATTCCAGGCAAGGAAGAATAGCTGATGCTCAGCTAACATTAAGAAATACTGCAAAGAGGTTTGTTAACGTCTCCTTTTTGAGCATGGGTTTTGTCACCTCTGATTTGGCTTCCCATTCGCAGTTGGGTAAGAGCTTTCCCGGAGGAGAATTAATCTTTAACGCTAGGTTAACAAAATCACGTTGGATCCAAACAATGGTGGAGGTTGCGCGTAGAGCAGGACAAGTCCTGTTGCTGTCACTGTCCGGTATCCTGCTCCAGTCCAAGAACTGAGAGCAGAGCTCGAGTCTCCAATTGCTCCATTTGCTGCCTTCCCTGACCCAGATGACTCGGACTTGTTCTGTGCGGGGCTCAGGAAGGGAGAATAATTGCTTTGCTTGTTCTGGGGGTCAACTCCCAGTATGGCTTCCCAGCCCCCCCAAAAGTCCCTCTGACTAGAAGTCATGGAAAAAAGCCTTGCTCCTTGGTGGTGACATCCAGACGTTTTTTGTATAGACTATAAAACCCCGCGCTCAAATTTTCTGAGGAGTTAATTAACTTAGGGTGAACGAGAAATGCACAACTCTGCCACACGTCTGTAACGGAGCCCATCCATCACGTCTTGCTAAAGCAGAAACAGCCTCAGCCTTAAAGTGGGGTTTTATGGCATCGAAGTATGGCCCAGTCACCAGAATTTTTGTTTCAGCCTGAAAGGGGCAGATTCCTCCACTTTCACTCGATCACGTTCTGGGTTGGAAATGCCAAGCAGGTACGTAGAGACAAGTCGCTTGTTTGCATGTGCTGCACCCCACTTGCACAGTCATTGTTTGAAGAGCAGGGGCATGGCGCGGTCGGCGTTCGCTATTGGCTGTCGGGAGGGGAGGATCTGGCATGTGGCGTCGGGATGGTCCTGGGGACGTGTTTTCAATTAAAATCCCACCAGTGACTGGCTGGGATGATCCTGAGCAGATGGAAGCGTTTCAGCACTTGCCCCGAGTGGAATGTTCTCCTCGGATGGTCTTTGCACCACCGTTGTGCAACGGGGGAGTGGGCTGCTCATCCTGCAGTGGGGAGCCGACGGGTATATTTGTGTGCACAGGTTTCTCCAGTCGTGAGCAGAAACTCAGAAAATTGTAAAAACCGCTAACCCACAAAAGATACGCAGCTGCCCCTGTTTGAAAGGGAAGAAGGGAGTTCCTGCTGCTTCCCTGCCCGCTGCCCATACCCAACCTTTGGGACTTGTTCAGATGGACTTAGTCGAAGGCAGCCTTGTTTGCAAAGTGATAAGATATTGATTTTGGCTGATCTCACAGGCAGATAGATCATCCCATGTTAAAAGTCTTGTTTCTAACGATGTCCAAGATTCGTAGAAAATATTACAAAGTTCATTTTAATGTCGCGCTTCTTTGTATGTCTTTTTGCCTTTACATGGCGCTTGGAAAATAAAAGCAGGTCGCCCAGTTTCGAGTTCGTACTCAGCTTGTCAGCTTCTCTTTCCAGTTCTCCTGCTTTAGCTTCATGTTGCAGCATGGGGGTTGCAACAACTGGGGAACATATGTTTTTCTTTCCATTGATTTACCCAGAAACCTTTTCTTTTACTGTTTGACTTTCCACAAGCTACATTTTGGCTCGAAGTTGAGCTGCTGCTCTCCTTTTCATGTCATATAAGGGATTGTATTTACAGCATCTCTCCTGGGTTTGGGTTGGTTCTGTTAGTTCCCACCAAAGTGAAAGATCTCAGATAGTAGATGCAAGGAAAGATTACAAAACGCAGTGAATCTCTGCAAACGGCTGGGAAGGCGCTGCAGAAAGCCACAGTCACTGTCAGCAGGGAGCCAGCATGGAGTTCAGTCCAACCCATCCTGGGCAATCAAGCCCAAGTGTCTCGATGACGTTCTGCCTCTCGAGACCCGCTCTCCCAGAGCACCTCTGCAACTGGAAAGCCCAGCTGGAGGTGATGCGCTGTGTACCAGGGACGAGAGGGTGCACCTGCCTTCTGTCCCAGTCCCAGGCTGCACTTCCAAAAGGAACGTTTCACTCTTTGCACACACGTGGAAGCATTTGTGCAGACAGCCTGGGCCAGCCCATGTGTGCAAATGCTTCTCTGCATGTCAGTGAGGGTAGGGACGTGCATAAGAGGTCATTAAGGAGCTTGGAAAGAGCATCCCAAAGGTGCCAGGGGTTACTCAGCAACCTGTGAACTAGCTGCTCTGCCAGCCTGGCCTGCTCTCTCCTGCATCACTAGGTGTAGGTCCTGCCCCAGGTTAACTCCCCAGCGCGCTGTTCTGCCAGCAGATGTGCTGAGCCTGGTGCGTGCACAGCTCGGCTGTTTCACACCTGACATCCAGAACATCCCGTGCCGCGAGCCTCCAGTCATATTAATACTGTTCATCGGGACAAGGCATTGATCAGCCTCTGTCTCTGCCTTGTGCCATCCTGTTAGCTAGCTGGTGGCTGTTCCCAAAGCACCCCCAGGGTCGCGCCGGCCCCTGCCTGGCTGCATCCACCGTTCACCCACCAGCCCCTGGCTGCAATGGGCAGGAGTGAGGAGCCTAAGGAGTCGGAAGTGCCTCGGGTAGATGAGTTGGTGGCTGAATCCACTGCAGCCTGAGGAGCCTCTGGGGACAGACGAACCCTCCTCTACCCAATAATCCCCTTGGTGCATGTGAATAACCACAGAGGGATTCCCTTCCTGCTGCTGCCTGGCTTGCTGTGCCACCTGGTATTTCAGCAGGGCCAGGCCCCCTTCATAGCAGGCATGGAAGTACCTGTGTAACCTTCGGTAAGAGCCAGCAGTAGCAGCCTTGGGCACTGGCCTCAAATAACACTACCAGGTACGGTGCTGCTGGCTCCCTGCTCCCCTCCATCCCAGCGCGAGAGCTCAGAGGCTGCCAGGGTCTGGCAGAGTCCAGGAAATTGCTTCTTGGGCAGCAGTGCTTTTGCCATATTAAAGCCATTGTAGCGCTCACTAGTAGAAATCAGAGGACTTATTGGGATGCTGCAGCTAACTCTGGACACACGCAGGCAGGGTTTACCTTCCTCCAGCATTATCGCACACCAGAAAACAACTTGTTGCAAAGATCAAGGTGGCTCCTGTTTTTAAGCTGGTGGGGTTGCTTTCTGCGCTGATCGTTGCAATAGGCTGCAAACTGGGTCCCAGAGCAGCGTCACTCAGTGCTGAACCCTAGGACGTGCCCTCCAAAATCCTAGCACTGGGCACGTGTGGACACTCAGAGCCACGGGCTGCTGAGCCGTAGCCTGTGAAAGGCTTGGAGGTGCAAGAAACTTGGTTGTGCCTTGTACACTCGCAGTGCCAGGGCGCGTGGCTGGCTGACCCCAGGCACAGACCAGGCGTCACTCACTCAGTTTTACAGCCCCGAGGACCAAACTGCAGATCATTCAGCACCTGGCTCCTGCTGTTTGCTGAGGCCTGAGCCTGGGAGGGTTCAGAAAAGGCTGCCCGTGGCTGGAAAGGGCCAGTGAAGAAACAAGCAGGACAGCAATCCCTCCGTTTTTTAACCTGATGCATGTTCTGTGTGCTTCAAAGGCTGCCTCGTATTATTGCAACAAAATGGGATTTGAAGAAATGGCCTATCGGGGCCTGGAAACCGGCAGCAGAGAAGTGGTGTCTCACGTGATAAGGCAGGACAAGGTAAGAGCGCTGGGGGCGCGATGCTTTAGGACGCCACGCGAACGACATGATATATCGCAGTCAGATCAGCTGAGGGGAGGTCCAGTGCCTGAGTTCAGGACTGGGAACCACACACTTCAATCCTGGGTTTCTCTCCCTAGCTTTGGGCAAGGCGCATACCCGTGTGCCTCGGTTCCCAGCTCACACGACTGCCCGAGCGCACTAGTTGCTGGGTCTGGACTCGGGGACAGCGCAGCCTTTCTGGCTGGGTCACAGCTGGGTGTTGCTTGCTGAGTCCCAGCCCATTGCACTGGAGGGCACTTGGAGAGGGTGCATCGGGCCAATCCTCCGTGCCCCGATATGCTGAGAGAGGTGGGCTCGCTTTCAAGGGTAAGACGGCATCGAAGTCTGCCGCAGAGCCATGCAAAGCATGCTGGCGTTTTTTCAGTCTCAAGCTGTGTGAATATTGCGTGAAAGTTTTCTCCGGTGTTCATGCAGCTACAACACAGTGCGCTTTTCTTAGGGATCGAGCCTGGCACTGCCACACATTGCTCCTGCTGACTTCCTCAGCATAAATTGACTTCTCATGTTTTTCCTAATTCTCAGATCATATTTGTCCTCTCGTCTGCTCTCAACCCTGGAAATGAAGGTAAGTGAAAGCAAGGCCTGGGCTGATTAAGGGCTAGAGCATCTGAACATCCTGACTGTAATTTGTATGGCGAGCCCTGCTGACAGCTGCTGAGAGCCATCCTCCCGGCCTGTCCTGCCCTGCTGTCACAGGGGAAGCAAGAGGAAAGGAACAAAGGCCCAGGCCTCGTCCCAACTCTCTTAATCTGCGACTGCTTCGGCTCCAGGAGCCTGGAGGAGACTCAAAACTGCTGAGCAAGACTTGGGGAGGGAGAACTTAGCTCTGGGCTCGGGACAAGGATGGCTGCGAGTGTGGGCTGAGCTCTGCTCTCCAGTCCATTGGGATTTCACTCCTTTTTCTGTAAATTTGCAATTCTCCCACGTCCCAAGGAAACTTTGGAAACCAGCTCCCAAGTCTGCATGTCACCAGGAGGAAGCAGCCAGGCCATGTCAGGCAGAAAAGCCAGCCCAGCCCCCTCACTCTGCTCGCGGTACCCACGCCAGGTCCATCCAGCACCTGCACGTGGAGAGTCCCTGGTGTCAGGCACACGCACATTTGCTCTCTTTCTCTTTGCCCAGAAATGGGAGCGCACTTAGTGAAGCACGGAGATGGAGTAAAAGACGTTGCATTTGAAGTGGAGGACTGCAGCTTCATTGTGCAGGTAAATGCAGGGCTGGGGGTTGGGCATCTCCGCGTCCCATAGGGCCGAGGACCCCAGATGGGTAGGGTCAGTTTAAGGCCCCATTCTTTCTTGCTTGTAGGCAACGCTGCAGTTATGGCCCCAAAACAACTGGTTACATTGGAGAAACATAAGCCACAGATCCCAGGGGGTTCCCACAGCTGGGTTGTGAATTGATCTTGAAGTGTTCCCAGGTGCAGTTTTGGCTGGAAAAGTGAACGCAGCATTGCAGCGCTCCCTGTTTGCCCCAGCAGGGTCTCCAGGACAGATTTCTGTGGCCCTGCAAGCGCTGCTGGGATGGGAGGGTCAAGCCAGGACTTCCCAACCTGCGCAGGGCGGCTGCCGCCTTTGAGGCTGTGCACCTTCACCTGAAGCAGTGCTGCAGATGCTGGACCTGGCTTGACAGGTCTGGTCCAGGGTGGCAATTTTGTTCTCCTTCACAGAAAGCTCAAGAGCGCGGGGCTGTGATCGTAAAAGAGCCGTGGGTGGAGGAAGATGAGCACGGGAGAGTGAAATTTGCAGTCATCCAGACGGTGAGCAGCCTGGGGAGAGCCGGTCCCTGGGATCTGTGGGCAGGAGGCGCGCCCTGATTGCTAACTGCAGCGCCCCGGAGGGAAGGGGACGAGAGCAGCCACTTTAGTGCTGCAGGTCTTTGCTTCCTGGCCCCAGGTCTGGGTTTGACTGCAACCCCTTATGGCAGCCCTGACTAGGCAGCTGGCTTGCATACGTGGCTGTGAGCTTCCCCGAAGCACGTGGGTGGGCTGCTCTGGGCTGGAGGGACCCCAGGGCTGGTGGCTGACTTAGGGCAAATGGAAGGACTGGTGGAGGCCCTTACAGATGTCCTAAGACTCCCCTACAGCTTCCTCTGGACCAGATCCCAGTGCAGGGAGCCTCGTGCACGCAGGGGTCTGTTCTGGATGCCTCGATGCTGTCTGAGACTCAGCCGAAAGGAAAAGGGTTGGCAACGTGTCTTGTATGTTCCCCTCCCAGTACGGGGACACGACGCACACGCTCATTGAGAAGCTGAACTACAGAGGACTCTTCTTACCTGGCTTTGAGGCTCCTCTCTTCAAGGACCTGCTGTTGCCAACGCTGTAAGTAACTTGCAGGGGCCCTGATCTGCCTTTCCCATCTCCAAAGAGGGAGGAACGCAGCCCGGTGCACAGATCCCGCTCTGCCTTAGCACGGTCCGGCCCCGGGTGCACCCCACAGGGCAGCTGCCCTCGAACCTCTCATTTTACCTTCTTCAGATTTCATCTCCGCAGCTGTGTGCTTGCCTGCTGTTGCTTGGAGTTGCAGGCTCTTTTCCATCTAAAAAATTAAAAGCAAGCTGGTCAAAGTTTAAGCTGGGCCTAAGTGACAAAAGTCACGGGTCCGTGGTGCCAGGATGCAGGGGGCTGGTTCGTCTCGTTAAGGACATGGGGACCAGAGGAGGAGTCTGAACCCAGGCTGGTCCCTGGGTCCTCCCCCCGAGAGCTCGGCCACGCAGGGGTGGTGCGACCACACACGGTAGCAGGAGGCCAGAGATGAAACGGGCACACGCACTTCCAACCAGGTGCTCGCATCTTCAGGGCAGAGCCGATCCCCAAGGAAAGGGCTAGAAAGGGGCTTCCCCGAGGGGTTACTAGTGCATTTCCTGCAATTAGGAACGCTTGGATCAGATGAGCATCTCCCCTCCGAGGCCCTGGTGCCTCTCTCCCTTTTCTACCTGGCCAGCACCAGTAAGATGAAACAGTTGTGTCCCCAGGAGCACCGATGCCAGCTGCTTTCCGACTGCAAACTGACCTAGGGCTTCTTCTGCAGGCCAAGCGCGAAGCTGAACTTCATTGACCACGTGGTGGGAAACCAGCCTGACCTGGAGATGGTCCCAGTGGCAGAGTGGTGAGAGCCGGCGCAGTTAGGAAAGCCGTTCCCCCGGGTCCTGCCGCCACGTGCTGTCGTTCCGTTCCTGTTGCTGTTGCCGTTGTCATTTCTACTAACGGCATCGTTTTAGCGACAGGGTGCTTGGGACCGCTTTCAGTGCTTATAGGCATGAGCAACACCAGGGTCCCCTGGGGCATGTTCCACCTTGGTGCTGCGAGGGCCAGGGCTAGACAAGGTGCTGTGGCCCTAAGGGGAGGGCTGTCCATTGGCAAGGCGCAGCCCGGCCCACCCGGACGGCTAGTGGTCATACCGCTGGCTGCCAGTGCCCTTTTCCACTAGCAAACCTCCCATCCCATCACATAGACTCCTGCCTGGACACAGGAGATGCGTTTGCCAGCTTCCGTCGTCTCCTTTCCCGGCGATACCCAGGGCTGGATTTGGCCATACGCCAGGGACAGCGGTAGCCCCGTTTGGACCTGGTTGATTTTAGGCCGAAGAGGCTCTAGACTTACGAGCTCAGTATTTTGTGGGTGCATTGACAGAAGCAGGCCAGTCCTGAAGTCTGCAAATGTTGGCTCGGCGCAGTGAAACCTGCCTTTCCCGCTCCCGCAGGTACCAGAGGAACCTTCTGTTTCATCGGTTCTGGTCCGTGGATGACAAACAGCTGCACACTGAATTCAGCGCCCTCCGGTCCATTGTGGTTGCCAACTATGAGGAGACGATAAAAATGCCCATAAATGAGCCTGCGGTGGGCAAGAAAAAATCCCAGATTCAGGTAAATACTCCTGAAAGGTGGATCTCCACATAGGGCTGTCACCATTCACAGCTTTTCACCGACAAAAGCAGCCAGGTCCTGCTCTGAGGAGCTCATCTGAGCTCTAAGGGTTCAGGAGGACTCTTGAGCCCGCAGATGCTTATTGCAGTCGATGGAGACGTCACAAGAAGGTTAAAATCCACCGGTACGGTCGGAGAAGTGTCTCTGTGCAACTCGAAACCCACGTGAGAGTCCGTCACATCTGCAGCAATGGCCAGGGCCCCACGTACCGCTGGGTCTGCCTCTGGCCGCAGCGCAGACCAGGACCTGGGTTCGGGGTACTGGAACTGCCTGGCCCCTTCTTATTCAACAGCTCCACAAAGCTCTGCGTGCCCAAGAGGAAGGCTATTGCACCACCAGGAAGGTTGCTGTCATGGCACCTACCTCTAGTTTTACTAGTAAAATGCTTGAGTGTTTAATTTTCCCTTCCACGGGCAGGTCTGAGAGGAGACCTTGGTTTCAACTGCAGCTGGTTTTGCATTAAGCCTAAAATCCAGTTTGAAAATGCACAAGCATCATTTACACCACACGTGCACTGACTCTGTATTTCTCTTTCTAGGAATACGTCGACTATTACGGAGGACCTGGGGTCCAGCACATCGCTCTGAATACCTCCGACATTATTGCAGCTGTAAGTGCAGCAGCTGAATGCTGTTAACAACTTAAAAAAAAAAATGAAGAGAAACCCAGTTGATTTCCCAGGCTTTTCCAGTTGGTCTTTAGGGCAAAGGCCTTCATCCTCTCTGACTACTTTGCATTGAACAAAAGAGTGAGTTTCAGATGCAGACTTGGGCTGAGAGCCCACGGCTAACTTGGCGTCTGGGTATGGCAGGTAGGGTCATAGCACAGGTGTTGCGTTCCTCATGCCCCAGCCGGCACCCACCTGCCCAGCAGCCCGCATGAAATGAGTTTGGCAGCTCTAATTGCTGTGCTCACTTCACAAAACCCCAAGCAGCACTAAGCGCCCCCGTTGTTGGCTGTCACAGCAGAAGGGTCAAGCTCTGATGGGATCATGAGGACTTTTCCCTTCAAGAGGCATTTTGTGGGGGAGGCTTCCCAGCCCGCTGCCTGGGCTGTGCTTGCTTTGTTGATGCCTCTTGGGTAGAAACACTGCAGACGTGCAGAAGTCTCCTGGTGCCATCTCTCCTTCCCGTCCAGCTAGGGACAGAGAGCACCGGGGGCACAAACTCCTTTCTCAGAACATATTTCTCCGTTTCCACGAATGCAACAGTCCCCTAGTGTGACCATAGAGTGATTTATCCCAGAAACTCTTAACGTTTCTTCCCACTTCCACTGCAAGGACCAAGTTAGTTCGAGTAGCTTGGCATCTGGTGACTGTGTAGAGTAGGAACAAATGCAAGATTAGGAGGGTGGGACGCTGGTGTTGGCTGTCACCCTGCCTGCTGTGCTGCATGGGGTCTTGCTCCAAACCAGCTGCTGGCATCTGCAAGGACAAAGCCCTGAGCTTGCAATGCCTCTGCTGCTCCAAAAGCATATGCAGTGCAGTCAGTGGGGCAGAGGAGGCAATGGGCCCAGCACTCACGTGCACCCACCAACTGGCTCTCACCTTGTGCTGTAGATCACAAACTTGAAACAGCGCGGCATGGAGTTCATGTCGGTTCCAGCCACCTACTACCAGCAACTGCGGCAGAGGCTGAAAACTGCCAAGATTGAGGTTAAGGAGAGCATCGACAAACTGGAGGTCAGTTTGGGGTCCAGGTGGAGCTGAGCAGTGTTTTAACCACACAGTGACCGGGCAGTCATTTAAGAGAGGAGGAACTGTAAAGGGAATTTTAGATCAGCAAACTCCCCTGGTTCAATTTGGGCCAGGACAGTATTGCCCTTAAATTATCATCTTCAAAAAATCCTCGTGCGACACTTATTCCAGATGCTTTGAGCGGCCAGTTCCAACACAGCCCGCACATCAGAAACCTTGATTCAAGTGGGCACGGGAGCTCACCAGCACCGTTTGGGAAACTCTCGGCAGTTCTTCACCCCATTGACCTCTTACTTTTGTTTCCAAGGAACTGAAAATCTTAGTTGACTTTGACGAGAAAGGATACCTGCTCCAGATCTTCACCAAACCAGTTCAAGATAGACCCACTCTCTTTCTGGAGGTCATACAGCGCTATAACCACCAGGTCTGTTTGAAATAGTCACTCCTAGCTAATCTGAACTAAAGAGATTTTTTTTTTTAATTATCATTAAAAAAAGCCCTAAAGTGCCACTAAAAAAGCACCTGGTCCCTGAGGTGCCTCTTCCCACTGTCCCTGAAAGCTCACTCTGCTTTGAAAAGCAAAGCTTTGGAAAAAAATACCATCAATGCCACCGCAGAGGACCTGGCAGTCCAGAACAGCCAGTCTAAACAGGTGCTGTAACATGGAGCTTTTCAGGCCCTGCGAGACCCGTCAGCTGCCAAACTTTCTGCAAAGCTAAGGTTCCTCTGGAGCAGGGGTGGGCAACTGTTTCCAGCTGCTGGGTCCAAAGCAGGCAGGTGGGTGCTGGGACCCTGCTACTGTTGGTTGTCTTGGTGGTAGAAGGCACCCCCATTGCAGAGTGCTGCCAAGGCCCCGCATCTGCAGACCAGATCCAAAGGCTCCACAAGCCGGAGCAAGCCCCTGCTCTGGAGCATGGTGAAAACGCTTCTGAAAAGGAGACTATATGGCTGGTGAGAGATTTCCTTCCCTGCAGCACTCCTGCCAGCCTGGAAGCACTGGAGAAGGGCAAAAAAAACAGCCTCTCTCCAGACAACCATGGAGACAGATACACTAGAGATATACCGAGAGGTTCTCCCGTGCTTGTAGCTCCTCGCCCCTTGCCCCTGCAGAATTACTGTTACTGCTCAGGGACGCCTCCATGCGTCGCTGAGCTTCTACCGGAGGGCGTTTGCTGATGGTGTAAATCATCATGTCTAGCATAGCAGGTCCCGTTAGGAAAGATTAACTCAGGAATCCTACTAGAAGAGACAAGGGTTGTTATCCCTAACGTGGCTGTGAAGAGCTGAGGCACAGAGAGGTGCCCCACGAGGACCATGGTGGCTGGCAGTGGTGGAAGCATGTAGAAGTCAGACGTATCTAGCAATAAATCCCGTTCTCAGGCGGCCAGAACTGTCAGTAGTCATCTGTATCCCCGTGGAGTGAAAGCTCAGCACGAGTAAGCCTTTTGCTGCTTGGTCTGACCCTGTGACTCCACAACTAGCACATTTGTTTGCCGCATACATCAGTCTTCCATTGTCCTTTCCTTCCTATGCAGGGTTTTGGTGCCGGAAACTTCAAGTCTTTGTTTGAAGCTATAGAAGCCGACCAGGATGCCAGAGGAAACCTGACTCTCCTGACATCAAACATGGAAAATAATTTCATCTAGAGCTTTCCAACAAGAGATCAGCAGCAGCCACGAGCGCTGGTTGGTATGAAAGTGCCCACGCACAGAAAAACAGCAGCAGCAACAAAACCAAAGAAATTCCTAGTCACTTGGGCAATTAACCCATAATCAGGCGTTACAAATGCAGCAAATTCAAAGTGAAGTTTAAATTGACACGAAATCTAAACCAATTCTGGTACAGAAACAGAAACATCTCAAACCTGCCATCCTGAGAGGAGGAAAAGAATTCAAAGAAATCAAATGCATCTTTCACAATCAGCTTTGTCTGAGTTCCCAAATCACCACTGCAGGGCATCTCTGAATTAAAAAAATGTTACATATGAGGTGAAGGAGGGGAAATTACTGCTAATCCTAATAAAACTGATTTTAACTCGGGGACGTGTGAAGAGTCTGAATGCTGGTGACTACTTATTTAATGCCGTAAGAGTCTTCTTTCTTTTTTTGTTGTGAATTTCCACATTGATTGCGCTTGCTTTTGGGATAATCGCAGCAACCCTGTAATACATTACTGATATACACGTCCAACCTTAACTCCAGTGCAATGCAGCTATTGCCCAATGGCTTCAAAAACCTGAACAAAATTACAGAAGTCGTTCCCCAGAAAATTAATTTTGTACTAAAAAAAAAAAAAGAAATTACTGTAATTAGGGGGAGGATACACTGCACTTTTCATGCATCACGAAGAGGTTGAATCCATCCTGCGTGACTAAGTGCAAAACTCAACTGACGGACCGAATGCTGTGGACATCGCCGTGAGATTTTGTAAAGAAAACTATCCTTTTCTGCCTCTCCATTCATGCAACAGTGTGGGGCAAGCGTGAGCAGGAGAGAGAGAGGAATCGTATGAACTGAGGCTGCTGCATTGGCGCGGGAGCGGAGACCGGATGGTTGCACTGCTAATGCCGGCCACGTCCATCCGTTCTGCCACCGTTACCTCCTTCCACTCCTGCCCCCAACGCCCAGACACCTCAGAGGACCTGACCCCATGCCTGCATCCCCATCCCACGGGTGCCAGCCCAGGGAGCAGAGGGGAAGGGGAGAGAGTCCCTTCACCTTGGTCCCCGACTGGGGCAGGGTCCCTGGAGACGGTGCGCTCCTGCCCTGCGACCTTGGGCGGGGGGTCATGGGCCCTTCAGCTCTCGCGCTCCTGGCAGCAAACATGCGGCACTTGCAAATCCCTGTTCGTGCCGTCAGAAACTCCATAATTGTCAGTAATGAAGGGCCCTCACCCGGGGCCATCAGCATTTCACTCTGTGCCCGCCTGGCCCCGAGGTAGCCCTGGCAGAGCCTCTTGACCTGCCCTGCCCAGCTCCAGCCTGGTAGGAATGGGGGGTGAGGAGGACGGCGAAGGGGAGCAGGGGCTGGACCTAGCCACATTTACCTGCGGACGGGGTGGAAGAGCAGCAGGACAAGCCCAGCAGGTAAATACCGCTCGCTCTTCCCCAGGTAAATACCCGCACCCTGGTGGGACCACGCCAGCCCGTCCCCACGGAGGGGCTTCCTCCCGCTTCGAGCCATCCCTCGGGGCCAGGCGCTGCCCTGCTCAGCAGACGGCAGGCTTGGGCCGCGCAGGCCGGTTCTGAAGATGCCTTGTACAACCTTACGGGAAAACCCCTCCTTTTAGGCACCTAAGCGGCTTTGTGTCCCCCTGTGAAATTTCTGGCCGTTACGACCCCCCGTAGAGGTGAGGAAGGGGGAGTTGGATGGAGACGGCTTCTCACCTTAGTCCAGAAATCAGCTGCTGGAAGCAGTCTTCCCCAGGCTCCCGCTCTCCCCTGCTGCGATTTCTTCCCCAATTGAAAGCTCTTGGAGGCAGCGTCCGTCTCTTGTGACAAGCCTGTGGAGAAGCTAGCATCTTTTGGGTATTGCCACACTATTAAAAATAATTATTAGAAGGGGTAAATGATTGAACGGTGTCAAGGCGCCCATGTTTGTTCTCTTTGGCTCTGCCACTTCCTTGATGGGAGTCCTGGACCAAGCCGCTCGGTTTCCTTCTCCTGTCAAAGGCAGGCAAAGTTCATTCCTGGTTTAACCCAGCAAACAAGATTTGCAAACAATAAGATGGTGGCTCCGTGACACTTCCAACATAACCACGATCAACCACAAGCACTAAAAAGCAGCCGTAAAGGGAACATCAGTTTGCAGTTGTAGCTCGGGAAGACGTATGCAGTTGGTCAGACTGGGTGATCGTAATGGCCCCTTCTGGCCTGCCAATCTAGGCATCTATCTTTGCATAAGTTCACTTGTGAGACCTTGGATACGAGGGTGCAAAGCCTGGGTGCAATCTCCCAACTGGGATTCAAGTCGGTCCTTACCAGTGTGCTGCATGTGACTGTACAGCGGTACATCACTATAGGATTGTACAGTGGTCGATGGGGATACTCACGTGGACAAGGGCTACGGGCCGGGCTCTGCCTTCTCGCACTAATCCTGTGCCGTGCCCCACCTGCTAACATGAGCAGAGCTCAGAGCTGGTGCACTGCTGCCAAGTCCCAGTCTCTGCAGGGACCTACCACTAGGCGCTACTGTAATAAAATCATAAGCACAACATCGTTTTTTCTGTAAGAAAAGTCAGTATATTTATGGTTTGCTTTATAAAAGTTACTATAATACAATGGTACATAGTATTCAATTCACAAAAATATGAACAAATATATACAGCATGACACATCCACAACAAAAACACTTTCTTCAAAACAAGATACATACTGATGACAGATTCTATATGCACAAAACATCCCTAAATTTATAAATTTGCTTAACAAAAAAAAAAAAAAAAAAGCAAAAATCCTTAAAATTTCAAAGCAGTTTTGTTTTTTTTTTTTAAAAAAGGAACTTAAAAAAAAGCAGAATTTGTATTTATTGCAAACCATTTTACCTGCCTCCTTTTAAAGGAGGCCTTTTACTTTCACACTGTGAATTAAAACCACCTGTTTACATAAGCCATGAAACAGCAAGGAATGAGGGCAGTTTTTAGATTTCATTTTTTAAACTGCCTGTTGGATTTAGAGTGTCCTTTACAATGTGTTTCTTTTCACGTGTACAAATACAATAGTGGCAATTAAGGAGGACATTAAACAACAAAAAAAAAAAAAAACAACAAACCCCAGTTGCAAATTTGCTTAAATACATTTTAGGTTGTCTATTCATAGACTATACATATTTCCTCGCTTGAAATAAATAGATTTTGCACGTTAGGTTTCAGACTGCCAAAAGAAAAAAAAAAAAACAAAAAAAAAAAAGGAAGCCTCAACTTGGCATTTTTTTGTCTTCAGTTTCTTAATGCTTCTAATTTCATCTACTTATTTGACAAAAAAAAAGAAATTTATACAGAATGTACATTATACAAAGCTTGACACAAGCTGTAAATGCCGCCAGCTCTTTTTCTATATGCATTCCTTCCCCCGCCCCGTCTTCCCGACACGAGTTAGAGCTGGAATCTTTTTAAAAAGAACTCCAAATTACAATAGTCACTTTTAATAAATTATTTACATGCTCTTGAAGTACAAAGAAATCAGCAAAAAAATTTCAACATGTTTCTACAAGAAACAGTGTTTGAAGAGAAGATTTTTAAGTTTGCCTATGTACAGAAGATGCATTTTTTTTTTTTAAACTTCAAAATCCTTTTTTCCTTAAATTTTTATTTTATACAGAAATGCACTGAAATGATCCCTGAAAAAGGTCACAAAAACCAGAACTGAAACTACTGTATACTTTTGTCAGAGTTTAAAAAATGCTTTTTTTTTCTTGTAGAAATAAGCTGCTCTATACAATATAAATATCTGCAAGATGAGACCCTTTTTCTCCATCCCTCCCGCCCGCCCCCTGATAGTTACTGCTCGGTTATTGGGACCCACCGTGGTTTTGGAAGTGGAGACCGTGGGTGTGAAACGAAGAGATAAATGACCGTGGCAGGCAAGGGCATGCAGGGTTTTCGAGCACAGACTGTGTTTCCTGGATATGCCAACGGCTAACACAGTTACGTACTTAACTCAAACCAGTTCATTCATACTTGGGAAAAATAAGACTTGCGGTTACATTTCCAAAACGTTTGCACTGTTCTCCGGGAGTGTTTAATTTAGCAGAGACATTCAATGTGATCTTTTTGAGGGTGACATTTTAATAGGGAACGCAATTCAATCTCATTTTTAGTTTGGTTTGGTTTTAGGACAAAATTTGGGATGTGCCGCTCCAGAAGTACACGTATTTCTACGAATACCTTCAGCAAGCAAAATGTTTTGTAAATGTGAATCTCAGCTCTTCTCCCCCGCCCGCAAGCTGTCCACCTTACATCCATTTATCATGTGCCTCTGATGGCGTCGCCAGACCCCGGTTAGCAAGGCACGACGCTGTGCCAGCCTTTGGCTGATGTCTCTACATTACACAGAATCTGCTTTCTTCCTTTCGCTCGATCATCTCGAGCCCTTGCAGAGACTGGCTGTAGGAACGAGGAGGAACCAGAGATGTGTTTAGCTGGTGCAATACTCTACAAACACATTCGTATCTGCTGAGTGCCCACCACGACCACCCGGGTGACTTGTCAGGAAGGAGAAAGCTGCAACTCGTCTGCATCAAATGCAGGCGGTTACAGTCGCTCGCTTAACATTAACCAAGACATCCACTGCAGACCACACGTCTCGCCATAAGATGCTCGGTCAAAGATGGAAGCTGTGTATTCTGGGACCTGAAGGCCAAAATGGGGGGGGGACAGACCCCAGAAGTCTTATTTCATGCTCTGAGTCCACATCTAGATTAAGACAGACACCGGGTTTTCTCAAAAGTGCAAAGCACTGAACAGCTCCAGCTGACTTCAGTGGAAGCTGAAGGATGATCAGCACTTTTGAAAAAAAAATCAGGTTAGTTATCTAAGAGTCAAAAGTGCCTAAGTGACTTAGAAACCTATTGGATTCAGAACCTAAACCATGTAGGTGCTTCTCGAAATTTTATCAGAGGAAACTATACTTTCACTCTCTGTTTTCAAAAACCTCAGAAAAAATCTGTATGGTCTGCTTCTCCATATTGCAGACGGACACAATTACGGGGGACAGACCCGTCATCTCTCACAATCCAGCGGGGCCACCGATGTAACAGGACACATTATATTGTTAACACAGACTCATGCTGCATTTCTAAACTGGTTTGATGGGATGAGGACGGCTTAGAAATTAGCAAAAATTTAATATTTAGGACTTCTTTTCTGAAACACATGAAACTTAGGGGCATTTCCAAAGATTTGGAAGTATAAAAGGCCAAGCTGCAGACATGCTAATTAGAGCAAGAGTATGGCAAGTAGAACCATATTAAGAAAAAAAGTGGCTGGTTTAATTTAATAGCCACAGTAGCCAACTCTCAGACAGAAACCATTTGTGCTTCTAATAAAAAATGTAGACCTTTGGGTCATGACTATCCAACTGCAGAAGAGATTTTCAAGACAGCATTTCATCCAAGAAAACAGAGCGACACAAAAACAAGAGACTACGAACTGGCCAGTAGCAAGAACAACCTCACGGTCCTGCGCTAGACATGCAAAGAGGCTTAAGGCAGCTTGCATCGGCTCCCGCGTTCCTGTTCCTCTAGGCCTTTTGAAGAACAAAACCGAAATCCAGCCCCTACCTCTCACCATAGGCTACAGTCAGCAACGGGCCTGGGAAATCGCTATAACAGAGAGAGAACTTGTAGGAAACGTATGGACACCCGATCGCTGAGCTGTGGTCAGACAATAATTGTCGCCCACCAGAAAAGGGTTTGGGACTTAACTGTCCAGCTTTGCGTGGGAAAAGCTTCTTCGTTACTGCGATAATGTTGGTTTCACAATTACGTCTGAGAAGTTTCCCTCTGTAAATTCATTTGGAAAACTGCTTGGTACAACAAGTTTAACTCTTAAGTGGAAAGAATTCAATGTAGGTTGAAAGACTAATTATGTCTCTTGGTGAGCCGTCAACTCACATGGTGAGACCATAACCTAAGAAAAGCTTCGGCGGGATTCTGGCTAATTTGCACTGGAAACCCCTTTCGTAACTCTGAGGATTTCATTTCCACGTACGCTTACAATGATCAAATACACCCTAAAGAGAAAACACGTCTTGTTTTAAAGAGAGGCCTTCCACATAGAACGACTGATTTCCGTGCTGTAGGCAGTACGGGACAGATCCTGCTCCCCCCACCGAATGCTATCTTACCCCTGGTCCTACTGGAATGAATAGGACTAACCCTGGCATCATTTACTTGGGACTGTGAAAGAGGCTAGCAGGCGGCTGTCCACTAGTAGCCCGGCAGGAGTTTCACTCGTACGCGCCGCATGCAAAGCTGTCACAGCAGGAGAGGAAGAAAAATCAAGGAGAGAAACCCACCCATCGGCTGCTCGCTGTAGGAGAAGAAATCTCAGTGCCATCCTTGATAAACAGCTGGAGTAGTGTATGCTTAAAGGAGGGTAGGATTTCTACAGCGTGAGCAACGACTGTAGCGATCATTTCATTTCAACCGCGGTGCTGCGGAGGCAGGGCAAGGAGATCCACTAGCAGTGTGGATACAGAAGAGGCCGTTTGTTGGGCTGCGTTTTGCAAATAGGGGCTGAGTAAATGATTCAATGTATGAATTATAGAGATTATGGTCTCAAACGTTTTCTCCTGGATGGGTGCAGAGGTATTGATCCCCCCGAAATACCAGCACGGCGTATGAAAATTAGAGATGAGCCCGAGGCTCTAGGCTCAGGTCCGTTCCAGATCTGAGCGTTCCCCAGCACGCCTGGGGCTTGTTCAGGCTCATCTCTAATGAAAAGGCAGGACAGTTCATCACTAGTCTCACCGTGGACACAACCAAACACACCCACACCCACACCCACACCCATGCACACAAACACATGCATCCTCCAAGCCACTGGCTGGCTCTGTAACATCGACCTTACATTTATTTACAGCTTACTCTGAGAAGTCTGTGCAATTTCAGCCAATCCAGCTCCCAACAAACCTATATGGCATTTTTCAGTCTCTGCTTCACATTTAAACATTGAATATCTTTTTCAACCAACAAAATTGATGAGAAAAAGGTAGCAGCATTTATGGAAAGACAAAGGTTTGTACAACGACGACGACGACAACAAAAAAAGGTACCGTTATCCCCTTTGTGAGCAATAAAGTAGGGACCGAACAGAGAGAAGCTAGTGTTTGGATATACTGTGCCACAAAATGGTAATCACCTTTCTGTGCGCGTGTTGGATCTGAAGAGGAAGAGCACCTGAAACATGAACAGTCTTTGTGTGCATGTGTGCGTTTTGCTTTCGTTCACGATCCTGACAGAAGTGCGAAACTTGCTCCGTTTTCTTCTCTTTCTTATATTTTTTGTTATGCGTGTGTGTGCGCGTGCGTGTGCGTGTGTGTGTGTGTGTGTGTGTGTGTGTATTTTGTTTTTTGGCAAAGTGCAACCACACCTGGTTACCCCAGTCCTGACATGGCTGAAGGTGCAAGTCTGACGAGGAGCCTGGGGGCTAGTTCAGGGTCCCTCTGCAGTTCTCAGAGCCACACAAACATGGGATTTTTACGTCCTCGATCGGAAACTTGTAGTCGTAGGTAATTTCCTCGTTCACGTTGATGTGCTGCTTCGAGTAGATGACAATCTTCTTCTGGGACTCCACGGTGATGACTTTAGCGTAGCAATTTGGCTGCAGAGATGACAAAACAGGAGAAGGGTTACGTATCGTTTTTCGGGCGCCATCTAGAAACCAAGCCGATTTGTTGCAGTCTTTTCCAGAGAGGGGCACAGGTCCATTTCCAAGGCTGGGGGTGCAAAGCTTTCAATTTTTCCCGATCGTCCCCAACACCAAGGAGGAACGGGAAAGTTTAGAAGGGGGAATTAAGCCAGACGCAACAACGGTTTTCCAAACGGTACTCATCATGGTAGTTTGTACGGCCAGGGCGCAGAGCCTCTAAGATCTCAGGTGAGGAGCGACCGTCACTAAGACTCAGTTTTATGACATCTGGGGCTCAGACAGTCTGCCCCCGGCGCAGGGAAGGCAGATACACCGTCCCTAGGAGATGCACTGTGTTGTTCATCCGCAAACATCCAAACCCAGGCAGCTCCGAGGCCGGGGCTTTTAGCTTTGTGCTAATTTTCATTTATTGCAAATCATTTTACCTGCCTCCTTTTAAAGGAGGCCTTTTACTTTCACACTGTGAATTAAAACTAATTCGTTCGTGCTAATGAGTAAACAGCTGCACTCAGGAAGTCAAGACTTTAAGACCAAATCCTGAGTAGACTTTATATTGCTTAAAGTCCCCTCTGAGCCCTTCCTTACATAGCTTAGATTCGCTCCAGTTCCACCCCAGGTCATTAATGCATGCAGGGCACACACCGTTACAGCTGGCTCCCGCACGTAATGAAGTGTCAGAGCGAAGCACCCAAAACGCAAGCCGTGTCATACTTACATTGCAGCTGTGATTAATAAACCTGGCAAAGTTTCCACATTTTGTGGCATCGATGATGGTGTCATGGTCGACCCTGAACATGTAGCTGCTCCCAATGCCTTCATCTTCATATCGTTTCTCTCGCATGTCAGCAATGACCTACAAAAAGAAACCCGGATGCGAGGTCAGCAGATGCCCAGGAAAGCACAGGAGAGTGCTGTTGCTCGAAAAGCCACAAAGCAACGCTCTGCTGTTTATATTATAAAAACTATTCCTGATCCAAAAGGAGTAAGGGGGACATAGATTTAACGTCCAAACTGCCAACACCTAGAACAGGAGTCTCAAAAGGTGTGGGAGGGGATGAGACACTGAATTTCCATGGGATTTGGTGGGTGTCACTTCTCCTCAATTCTTGGCAATCCCAGCCTTATCTTTCAAACCCACGGCTCAGGGAGACCTCGGAGATTATCTGGAGCGTCTCTCTCATGGGAAGTGCAGAGAATCCCACTCCTGCCTGCTGGAGAAGCGGCTAGGTCGGATAACCTAGTCCCCTTGATAATGCAGCTGTGGCGGCTGCTTGCAGGGTCGCTGAGTTTACAACGTGCGATAGTCAGAATAGCATTTCCCTTCGCTATCTGCCAAGGCTGGAGTTCACGACGCCACGTCTCCCCCGTGGCCGTCGAAGGGACAACCCCCAAAATGGAGCAGGGCACTTTTTGCTTGGGCTGCCAGCAACTACTACAGGGGAGCCAGGAAGGATCTGCAAATACTACAGCTTTTTATACTCTTTTACATCTCAGATGTACGTTAGACTTGCATTTTTTTTCAAATTTCTAAAAAAAGCAAGCAAGCTCATACCTAGATAGTTCATTAACATTACCATCCATGTGTCTTCTAGCCAGATGAACAATTACTGGCATTGCTCATCTTACTCGTCCTTATTTAGTGCAGCAGAAAGGACGGCCGCACTTTCTCAGAGGTACTCAGCGAGTTATTCAAACACAAGGTCACCCCACCTGCACTTTCAGCTCACCGGGGCCTGTGGTGCACGGATCTGCATTTCGGCTCAAGGGCCCCCGGGCTCGGGAGCTCGGCTTCAGGATCCTTTCCACTATTACTTCCCCACAGGGCAGAGCATGCTGTGCACAAGCTACGAATCCCGAAGGGGGACTGAGCTCCTGCTGCGGGCAGTCAAATGCAAACTTGATGCAAACCAGGTGATTCTGGAAATACAGCTGTCTTAGGGAGAGCAGCATCCCAGGCACCCCCTGCTCAAACGACACCAAACGTGGACTCTAGCCCCTTTACATGAATGGTCTTTTAAAGGGCAAATGATCTTGAACCTGAGCTATAGTGGAGCTGTCCTACGTACGTGTGAATCGCTTCTCATCTGTTGTCCAGAGCAGTAAGCAAACCTTGCTTTGTGGGCTCTGTAAATGCACGGTGCAGCATAAAAGAAGATAACGATTCAGCCTGGATTTAATTCTGTTTTGAGAAATTCGGTTCCCTTCTACATTGCAAAACAGCGGTTTGTTCTAAGGCACCACGGCTTTATCGCTTGGTTTAAAAGCACTGTCTCAGCCAGCGTGCGAACACAGTTGCTAAAATGTCTAGTGCCAAAAATAATACAATCTTCCTTTTTTATCTTATTTTCTTTTTTTCCCTGCGGATGCGACATGCTACAGTCAATGAGATCCTGTATGCTGATTAAGAAGAAGCTGTAACTGTGTATTTTACTCTCTCAAACAGCTTCCAGGGAACAGGACGTACAGAGGAGAGGAGGAAAGGAGCAGAGTGTGTTGAGCCTTGCACAGAAACAGCCAGAAGAAAACGCACAAGTTATACCCAAGCGTACGGATTTCAACATCTCAAGTAATCATCAGCACTGGGGAAATCCGGTTTACCTGTCTGATGTTCTGGCCCACGTATTCAATCACCATCTCATCGGCTGCGATGGGCTCCATAGCAAAAAGTCCCCAGTCGTGAATGTGGCTCTTGCAGAATTTTAGTTTTTTCTTCCGGAACTGTGTGCAGAATCCCCCCCAAAGCCATCGTCAGCCACACAGCAAAGTGACGAGCCGCGCGGCGCGCGAGAAACAGCACTCGGCATGTTCCCGGCCACAAATGCAGAGGTCCCACAGATAGAGGCTGTCCCAGCAGTTACGGCAGACCGTCCTTTACCCCCGTGCCAGCTGTCGCAAGGAGGTGGCCGAGCGACTACGCATGGAAACCAAAGTCACCTTTCTTGGCTCCCCAGCTCTGCCACCGATTCACTACACGACCAGACCCTGGAGGGTGCTTTCTCTTGCCCGTGCACGCTGCCTGGCTGTAGCAAGCACATGGTTTTCATCCCAAGCACACTGGTTGTGCCTGTCCCATGTGCTGTGCACACCCACCTCTGTCCCAGGGGTTTCTCTTTCATCTTTCCTTCCTTTTAGTCATTTGAATGCTAGATCAAGAAGGTCGAGGGACTGCCACTGATCTGTCCGAGCCCAGGGCCCGCGGCGCCAATGCGGTTAAGACGCCTGTTTCTATAGCCAGCAGCACACAAGGGAACCCGCTGGCCAACTTCACATCTGTGTCAAGGGCTTGAACTTTTTAATATTTAAAAGGAGCTTAGTGCCCTTAGAGGGCATCGCAGCGAGGTGGCTTCAAGCCCCCGTGAGAGCTACCGTAACAGCACGGTCAATAGAGCCGGCTCTCCACGGCACACCGCGCCGAAGCACCACGGCACTGTCCTGAGAAGAGACCACAGCCGTGGTGCGAGAGGACAGCTGCTTTGCCGGGCCTGGCCGGTCCTTCATTAAGACTACAAGCCAGGGTGCCCAAACGCAGAGGTGTTGTCCGGGACGTGAGTGCCAGTCCACTAGCAACTTGCCTCAAGTCGCCAAATGCCTTGAAACTGCCTGCAGCCAGGAGCAACCCCTTCCAGATGAAAGCCTCTACAACCCAGCGCAGCCCCCTTGCTCCTGCAGTCAAATCAGTCTCAGCAAAGAGCTTCCTGCCACGGGATATATGTTATTCTGAGGAGCTCTTGCTCCCGGACACGGTAAGGAACAACACACAATGCAACGTGGCACAGGAAGGTCAGAGCTAGATTTACGAGCTGTGGGGTGCCGTGGCTTCTTACGGCAGCTTGCTCTAGCCCGTTCCCAGCCCCCACCAGCACTTCCCAGCGCACGGAGGGAGAGCCTGGCTGTGTGACCTACCTTGAGCTGGTTAAATTTGAGTAGGTCGCTGTCACAGCTCCCGGTGAAAGACGAGAGAAGCCTGCGCTGCTCCGACCTCCTCTCGGAGCCAGCCCGGGTGGAAGCATGAGGCTGAGCAGGGATGCTCATTCCCTGAGATCAAAGAGAGGAAAAAGTCAGATTTAGAGCCAGATTTAGATGTGTTAAACTGAATCGCACATTTGCTGAAGGCAGGAGAGATGCCAAACCTGAGCCAGAGGAGCCTGCCATGTTACGTGCCCCAGCAACCAGCACATTTCTTACCGCCGACCGGCCGGCCTAGCCCTCCCTCCCCGCCGCACTTCAACTGGGCAGGGGGTCAGGCGAGATGACCCGTTCAGGTCCCTCCTGACCCTAGCTGCTATGAAACTATGAAACTCTCGGCAGTGGGGACTAGTAGCTGGGTCCGTCAGAGAGGCTGGGCTCCTGTCGCTGCCACAGGAGCAGACTTGATCTAATGAACAGCTCGTGCAGCCTGCTGCCCCGTCTGATGGGCTCCCGGGTCAGATATTTCCCGGGAAGGCCCAGGAGTCTCGCAGGGCACATGTTCTGCTTGACGTGCGCCTGGCGCAGGTGTCTGCCTAATCCTAGTCAGTTGGTGGCCGGTTTATCCCTCGGCGTACAAGGTTTACAACAAGAATGTTTTAAATCCAGTTTAATACGAGTCCAGACTTCAACACTACCCATACAAAGTCTAATCCTTTCTTGAACCCTG